AAACCCTAACCCTAACCCTAACCCTAACCCTAACCCTAACCCTAACCCTAACCCTAACCCCTAACCCTAACCCTAACCCTAACCCTAACCCTAACCCTACACCGAAGCGCCATGCATGCAACAGCCTAAACTGCGGAGTTTCCCTAACCCTAAACCCTAAAGGAATCACATTATTTGCAGTTATGGTTGAGAGGCTGATAATCCTTAACCCTACAGCCTACCCACAAGCCTAGACCCTGAAACCTAAATCCAAAACCCTCTAAAGCCGAAGTCCTAATAATTAAACCGGAAATCCTAAACCGGAGGAATCACTTTATCTGCAGGTAGGCTGTACTGGCTGCTAAAGTTTCCTTGCTTCCAGAGAATCAGGTCCGCTCCTAATTGCCCTGTTCTTATTTTCACCCGGGGCCGTACCATTACCCGCATCAGGTCTCCAAGGTTAGCAGCTTATTCTCGATAGAAGAAAGTAGGTCAGGCAAGTCGGCAAAATGGATCCGTAACTTCGGCAAAAGGATTGGCTCTGAGGATTGGGTGTATAGCACCTGTGAGCTCGCTTTTGGTCGGAGCTGTCTGGGCCCGTTGGTGATTCGCTGTCCTGTGGACTAAACGGCACTTACCTCGATGTGACCGCAGGTATCGCGTACACAGTGAACAGCTCACTCAGAACTGGAGCGGACATGGCGAATCCGACTGTTTTATTTAAAAAAAAATTTCTATGGCCGCAAACGGTGCTGACGCAATGTGATTTCTGCCCAGTGCTCTGAATGTCAATGTGATGAAATTCAGTCTAGCACGGCGGAAGTAACTATGGCGTTGATAATTTGGTACCTGGGTTTTGGAGTTGGGCGTTGCCGCCTTGAGCAAAATGGTTTAAAAGGGGGATGCAAGGGAGCTCCAACTCCGACGGTACGCCCACAAGTCAGGCCAACCGTCTTCGAATAAATAATAAATAATCCCATAGTGCTACTACCGAGTGTGTTAGCCTTGGTGTCTTATTAATTCATTAGTGTATGATGCAACTTAAGATGTGGGAAAACGAAGGCGACCCCCTCCTCTCTCGCTTCGTGCCATTATCTGCCATGTGAAAACCCCAAATACGATGGCTCTGGCGGAGACAGTCAATGCTAATTTCGCGTTGTACAAACCACGCTGTACGTTCATTGAGACCCAGATAGTGTGTAAGCACTCGTTTGTTTTGGTTTGGAATACACCCAAGGGACCCCCATACTTAATGCTTGCAGTGACACATTATACCCACGTTTTTCATAGTAAATCTCGAGGCTTTGATATTTTCCTTCTTTTTGGAGACGACTTGAGCCAGACGAATTATTCTGGCAGTCTTCAAACAATAGCTACACCAGCCATCGCGATTCGCTTGCGCCTGTCGTCCATATGTAGGATATCCGCCCTCAGTAGGGACTTCATACCCGCTGGACTGCTATCTATCTGTAGGGTCCTGTTCCGATTCACCGCATTCCGCTTTATTGCTGTTGCAGTCCTCTCCAAAGCCTTGCTATGTCGTTCTTTGATTTTGCTGTCAATGCTGAGGGGACAGTGGTTAAGCACGTAGGCAAGTGTTTCAGGATCTGCTGTGCAGTGGCGACAACTAGATACCTTAGAAGCTTTAATCTTCTTGAGATGTGCCCTTATGGGAAGTTGCGCGGAGCGTGCTATTAAGGCGGAAACGACCTCTTCCGGCTTCAGTTGGGTTGGTCCCCGCACGAAAGCATTGCTAGCTGCTGTTTGGCAGGCCACAGATTTTCCTTGGCTTACCTTGTCCTTCCACACATCGCGCTGCCTCCCTGCCATGTGCTGCTTGATACTCCTAATGAGATGCTGCTGGTCTATATGAGAGCCATCTGCTGTCTTTGCCAGATAGCTGCCGTCACTCCCAGTCTCGCTTTGCGTCTTGCTAGCTGATAGACTTCCTGGAAGCTCTGACAAGAGGCTTCTAAGGTCCACCTTCTTGCTTCTCCTCGCCATGCAGCCTACATCGCTACCGTTGAGGTAAGCAAGTATTGATGCTCGGTCCCTATCTTCTGAGGTAGCCAAATTTAACCCATTACCCTAAACCACGGACAATAAACCCTAGAGCCTCAATCCTAAAGCCTAAACCACTAATCCCTCAGCAGTAAGCCCTAGACCTTAAAAATTAAGAGTGTAACCCTTAGCCTAAACCTATAAGCTCAGACCCCTAACCGTCAAACCTGAGAACATAGCATTTTGCGCTTATTGACCAGTTCCGAGTGAAGCGGGAAAAATAGTGCCTGTTGAACGCATATGTGTCTTAGGTTTTATGGTATTGGCAAGTTACGGACAGAAGCGGAAAAAACAATGCTTGTTCTATGCATATTTTTGCGGTAGGCGATATTTCGCCTGAAACAAAATAGTGACAGCGATACCACCGGTCGGTGGTTGTCGCCGTTTTTGTAATGTGCATGCCGCAAGCACAGGTGCTGCTAAGCTGTTGTAGCGCAAAAGCACGCCGCTGATTTTTTTTTGTAGTGTGCACGCCGCAAGCGAAGGCCTAAATCAAAGCTGCAGTGACGCGAAAACACTGCAAGACGGGCAAACAACATACTTACTACACATGGAAAATAAGTGGCTTCCTCCAAAAATGCCTGCAGCTTAGTGGCCCGTCGCCATGAAATTACACGTGTGCAAATAGCAGAAAGACTCAGTGGAAGTAGGCAAACTGTACAAGATAGCCTGCGTGAGGTTGACACCCTACTCAGCTTTAGTGCGAGGTGAGTCACTGTCACATAATAGTTTTTAATTGCGTACTCGTTCAAAACTTAAACTGGAAGCTGGCCCGCCTCTGACACCATGCATTTAATCTTAAACACTTAGAATTGAATGGACAATTATAACCGCGAGCTATTTGTTAAACTTTGAACGCGAATCGCTCTTCACCGTTAGTATATTGCAGGTAGAATACACATTGTACAGGCACAGATCTAGGGATCGTGTGGCACAAAACGCTTGTCTGCAACTCCGTGGAAAGACTGAATGCCCGTCGACTCATATGTACCTACGTGCATGATATCGACCGTTTGGCCTCTCCCTACAGGGAGCCTAGCTGACACGCCCAACCACCTTGAGAGCAGTACTAGTAAACGAGGTGCCAACGTATCGAGCATCATTGGAAACGCTTACTCATTCAAAGTCCGAAGTTCGTTCGCTCAATGGACTAGCTCGACCACTTACTTTCTGAACCACAGCAACAGCTTGTACGGTAGGTGTCCGGCAGTGTTGAAATTGTTGGCGTGCATCGCATCGTGCAAGCTCCACATGAGCAGTAGAATTAGGCATGAAACATTTTGCAGAGACATACTAGAGGGACCTGTAAGAGTACAACACAGAATCATGCGGTCTACTCAGTATTCCCATCATGCGTTCGAACTGAGTATGAGGAGAAAACGGAGTTTCAGTGCTATTCCCAGCACCATATGTGCAGGTTTTAGGGAATAAGCCGCAAGGGTGAACAGGAACTGTCGTTTGAAGTAAGCGCTACATGGAAAACAAGGCCAAACAATAAACAATAAACATCGCAGCTTTTGCCTTGTTAGGGAATGGGTAATAATCATGCAAATTTGCAGAGGTTGCCAGCTAAACAAGAACTGTGCCCACGACACACATTCGCACAACAAAAAGTAAGGCAGACGTTTTGCTTGTAATATTGGCACTGGGTGTCTTATTCAAGGCTCCTTATGAACCAATACGCAAAACCTCAATCATATTTGTTTCGAATTGCAGGATCCTTTGGGAAGCAGTGGCGTGTACAGAAGAAGCGCACTCTCTGAATCAGAAAACACCGCATGCGGTCCAAGTGAGAAGTACTCCAAAGGTGTTGTCGTAATATGGCGTTATGCTACACACACAGCAAAATAAAAACCCATAATCGTATCCAGAAGTAGCACGCAAAGTAATGGACAATGCCTGCGGGAAGCTTATTCACCCTATGCAAAGTAGCAAAGGCCCGTTTCAGTGGTAGTATACGGCAAATTCAGTATGCCATGGTGTTCTTGGACTGCTTTATCCCCTTCCTTTCATGATAAAAAGTCTTGCGTTATGCCTACATGACCAGCGCCGATGTGTACAGTGCCACTCGAGCTCGCGCCCAGATGACGACCTATCTTGTGGGATAACTAACGTATCGTAGCAATTCAGTGCAGCATGCTTTAATTGAGCCAAGAACAGTCAGCCTTTGATTATAGCGGCCCTCAAACCTCCGTATATTCAGCATACCCCGCCTTACCTATCAATTAATGCTAAAATGTGTATATGTTCTGGAATAAGAACAGTGTAATTCAACCTGGTTATGCTTAACAGCAACGACGGACCTTCTGAATTTAGCACAGCAACTAATTACACAAACTGCAGAACTCAAAATTGTTGAACGCTACTGCCACTGAAGGACAGCGGTGTAAGAATGGACGCATGGGCAACACCACATTTACAGATGTTAGTTGCTCATTTCCCACTCGCAGCCGGTCCATAAAAGCGCATACGCCAAAATTAAAAGCCACTTATCTGTTGGACTCCAAACATAAACAGGAGCTGACCCCCCTACCCATCCAGCAACGCCCATCCCCCGCCACCCCCCTCCCCACACCCATAGCCACAGAGAGAGAGAGAGCGATGTCCAATGTGTAGAAGACCATAATAAGATTCCGCCGATAACGGCGCACATCAGCCTCCCTAGTGGGTACACATGGACTCACACTAACAACCGTCACAAGTGCAAGTTTTTTTTGTCACCAGTGCACGGTGCTGCTCTCGGGCTCTGAAACCCAATGTTACGACGGCAACGCACGTAGTCACGATAGCTATGCAGTTGCCTGAGAAAGGTGGTCTTCGCTTATTAGCCAGAAAAAGGGGCCACATTACACAGGGGTGCTGAACTTGGAAAACGTTCCATTGCACATTAGCACGGCACGTCAGTAATACCTACAAGCTGTTTCAGTGCGTCAATCCCTCATCTGCTAGTCTAAATCTAGAACGCTCCTCACGTGCAAAGCAAAGGGCCAGAAGATAATCTGTGCATATACACGGGATGTACAAATTTGCGGAGTGCAGTCTAAAATTTGCTTAAGCGTCAAAATCTTCCTCATTATGAATGGGTCGACCAGCAGGTTGCGGTCCTCTGTTCTTGATGACATCTATCCTTTTTCCCAGGAAGGAAGATTGTTCTTGGCAGCATAAACATCCATAAAACACAAATGGATCGCTTTCCTCTACAAACATCCAAGACAATGCACTTTGTAACCATCTTCTGCACGGGGTGCATGCTGTAGACGAACTATCTGTTGTTGAGATTAGAAGGGGTTCTGTTAAACCATCCTAAACCACACCTACTGAGCATTGCCGCTTTCAGGCAACTACGAAAGACGCAACAATATGGGTGAAACGTTGAACGTGTTGGAACTCGAAAAGTGCTCCACGCCTGCATTCTCCTTGAGCTCGGATATAACATACGCTACTTCGCAGGCGCGGGACTTTGCTTTCACCGCCTCACAGAAGCACGTAATCCACTGAACTCCATCTGCTGGTTTTCCAAAGCTTATTTACAACTGCGAATTGCCTTACTTGTCGCTGTTGGCTGGAACTTCTCCTGCAGCATAATTCTTCTGCGGTTTACGACACAACCACCTCAATGTACGAGGGCCGACTGCCAAGCCTCAGTAGTACAGCCGAAGGGTCAGCAGTAAAGCCGAAGGGCAATTTGCCCTGTCTCCAAGTTCCTGCCGAAAAAGGGCCTTTGCCTAACTCACTCCCTTCGTCAACGCATTGAAGATAGTAGTTTTGTTGACATGCTCTGGAAGTGCATTTTCACCCACTCAAACCAGTTTTTAAATCTATACACATGTTTAATGTGACAATGGTTTAATGACACAAATTTATAGCGCGCAAGCCACTGTATCCGTAAAGAATATGATACAGTACATGTGATTTAGTTGTTTAAATCATTGTTTCGCATATTTTACCATACTTAAAGCAGTAATTGCCCATCATTTTGAACTGGCGAGACGCCATTAGTTGTCTACATGGATAGTGGGAACTTCGGGTATCATGAAATTCAGCCTGAGGCGGCAATACTGTATAAGCTGTATTTCCTGCCAATAGGCGAAGCAATGACATTAAATTATCCAGCCTCACTGCATGCAACTCTGTGGCTCGGAAACGTGCAAATATACGGCTCTTGTGGGTGTCGTCCACGGTGCAACGTGTTGCCATGCAGAAAGCAATAACTGGTCCACATGTTTCAGGCGCGAACAAAAGCTTCAGTATACAGTGGCAAGATGAATTACAGTCGACTGATGTCGAAGTGTGGTGATCAGTGCAGTGCTACTCCGCCTACGAACTGCATCCGTGTAAACTCGTTAGTTTCGACCGCAATCTTCCACAAGAGGCTATCCTTACATTTGCTCTGGTTATATGGTCGCATAGTCAGATGATGTGGGAGTGTGGGAGTCAAGCGTGCTGATCAAAGGTCTGGCGTAAAGCAGGCGAATATATATATGAACCCTTAGTGCAGCAAAGGGGTACATGGTTCCTCGAAAGTAGTTATCGTGGACTAAAGCGACACGGTAGAATGCAAGATTCCCCTGACCATTGGCTTTTCAGCTTTACCGATTTTCAATACACTATCCTTGGGTACGCCATTGATTTTGGTGACCCAAATAGCCTGCTTGCAAATCTAGGCAAACGCCCTACAGAATACAAAGGGGCGGCTAAAATAGGGGGCTGCGTACCAATAACATTACTTTCAGAGGAAGAAGTGTCTAGGTGTGGTTAGGCCTTAGCCAAACTGCCATACGTT